AAATTCCAGTGAAATATATTTATGTTTGTGGTTGTAATGTGACAAAATATGGAAAAGTTCAAGGGGTATGAATACTTTTGCAAACCACTGTACATGTCCAAACTCATATTCTATTCTTTTTCAAATTCTTAGCAGCTCCAACACAAACAAACCAGAAAATATCAAAGTGGAAGAAGAGGAAGATGAAGCTGAAGTTGAAGCAGCAGCAGCTCAAGTCAGCTGAGAATTCTTCGAGTTTAACGTCAGAGCTACCGTTTGCAATGACCAGCCCCACCACATGGAAAGAACTGGGTTGTATGTATATTTTTCCTGCTAATTAAAACAATTCTTATTATAGATTCAGTGACACGTTGTAGACTATATCTTGAATTTAATAGTTTAATTGTTAAAATGTAACCTATTGTCCTGCTGACTGGTTTTAGTTTGAGTTGACTGATAGTTTATTTGATTCGCCCATTCTGTGAAGTCTCCAATCCTGAATTGTCTGAGAAAAAGAGGAAGAGGAAGAGAGGAGACAGCGGAGGCCGAGTGGACAGTGAGGAGGATAGTGACCAGAAGAAAAAAAAGAAACAGAGCCATCGACCCAACTACTTTGTCTCCGTTCCCATCACTAACACACAGGTAAGGACCTTCTGTTAGTTTCTGTAGTTTGTATATTTAATATATTTGCCTGCAGTTTTTTTTTTAGTTAACTTGAACCTGATGTAATTAAAAAGTCAAATTAAAGCATATTAATTTTATAGTGAAGTTTTTGCTTCTGACTTGCTTTTCTTTTTTTGCCTCCTCAATCTTCAGCTGATACCTTTCTCTCTTTTCAAAGCCCAGTTTAATATAAATACTTATGGTTAAAATTTAAGTACAGAGTACAGTTGCAGAGTTTTTTTTTTAAATGTTCCAAAAAAACTAATTTATGCAAAATCTGCTGCAGAGGTGTTAAAAATATTCACATTCATTACTTAAGTAGAAGTATAAATACTAGGGTTTGAAAAGACTTTTCTGGAAGTAGAAGTATTAAATCCAGGTTTTTACTCAACTAAAAGTACTGTTTAAAAATACTTAAAGTATAAAAATAAAAGTAATGTAAGGAAAAAAAGGCTTTAAGATGAACGTTTACAGTTTTAGAAAACAACAAAAAATATTTTATAAAAGAAAACTTACTTTGTTTAATCAAAAATGTAGACTTGCACAAACAATCTTTTTTTCCCCTTCTATCCAAACTGTCTCTGTCATTGATTGTGTGTGTTTGTGTGAGTAGATAAACTGCTTACTGCTGCTAACACTGGAACTGAAAAGTGAATGTTGTCCAACAACAGATAAAGTCAGCTGTGACTGAAATCCAGGAGGCTGTGCTTCAGCAGGAACCACGACTGGCCAAAGCCATGGTCCCCRTTCCAACTCTTCACATCACGCTCCTCGTCACTCATCTGGCCAGTCAGGAGCAAGTGGACTTGTAGGTTAACTTGTGTAAACCTACACTCTGAACTTACTCAAATGCAGTTTACTGGCAGGTTTTTGTATTAACAGCAATAACATAAAAAACAAACTAGATATAAAATAGTTTATRTAATTTTAAGGATAGATAAGTAAATTTAATTTCCAGTATTGAGTGCTTATAGATAAATGTAAATAAATCTCTGATGCGCTGAAGCATGTAAACCCATAATGCTCTGTAATAAGTAGAAGATTTCCGTCTTTAGCGATCACCTGATTCTGTCATTATRTAATGTGACGTGAAGGCTGGAAGAGGATTAGGTCATGAGCTGCTGTGTGTATTAATGTGCATATATCTCGCTTTTCCAGGGCTGCAGCTGTGCTGGCTCAGGTCGAGCCGTCAGTGGTTAAGATGCTGGGGGGGCGGGATCTGGTGCTGCCCTTCTCAGGAATCAGTTATTTCAGGAAGGAGGTGGTGTTTGTTGGGCTGGACACGGGACTACACAGACACACACTGGACAGCCTGGCAGGTGGGTTTCTGTCGTTGACACGTTCCTACATCAGCTTATAGATTAAATTATAAATTGTGTTTTATTGATTTAATGCGTTTTGCTTTTATGAACGATGAATCTCTTTAGTGTTATTTGATGCTATGTTTTTTTTTGTTTTTTTGTTTTCTAGAGGGGTGTTTGAAGTTTGGTTCAGCAGTTTTTCTGTGTTTCGTGTCGTTTTTTAACTGTAATTTAAACTCTGGAGCAGATGGATGATTTTTGTTTGGGATTTTATCCACGAGAAGTAACATTTTCTACTGCTATAAGGGGATTTAGGTACAGGGTTTATTCTGACAGAGAAAAAAGTAATCACAGGATGTTTATGCAGCCAATTAACTTTTGGAGTCACCCAATTCAAAATGGCCGCCACAGCTAATCAAAATTAACCTATATAAAAATGACTTTAACGCTCAATTTCTCCAATGTTGAGCTAACGTTTGTTGCAAAAGTTATCTTCTACACACACTTAAAGCACTACATATTGCATTACCTCTTTGCGTTAAAGTGTGATGTTAAGTGTTAGAGTCAACATTGTCTTTTAGCAAAATATCTCATAAACCACTGCATGGATTTTGATGAAGCGCTCAGAAAGTAATCACTGTGTATACACCTAGAGCTGATAAATATTTGAAGTCAACACAGTTCAGTGTGACTGCCACAGGTAAGTTTATGTGGGGGTATCTGAGCGTTGTCCTCAATACAAACTTTGAACGTTAATGCATCTTGCACGATTTGGTGGCCATGGTGAATTAGAGCTCTGTCGTGTGTAAATCATGATTATGTTTATGTGTGTGTGTGTATATATATATATATA